GAGGACCCAACAGGCTACAGTGTTTTATTACATATTGAAAAATGAGAGAGTACGATTGTTCTTTGGCCTTTTAACTTTCAATAGAGAGAAGCAAAATTGGACACCATCGCTTCCAGAAAAGGGAATCACTCCCCCACTGTATCAGGACTGAGCCTCTCCTGGGTATACTGTGGTAGGCTCAGGTTTAATGAACACAGAGACAAAGAAGGGTTTCGTAGAGGCAGGTTGAGTTTTTCTCATTTGGAGTAAGGAAGGGTATATCAGCTTCTAAATGACGTTGTAGGCCAGAGGAGGTTTAAAAAGAGTATGGAAGCAGTTTTCTTTCTTTTTTTTTTTTTTAATATATTTTATTGATTTTCTACAGAGAGGAAGGGAGAGGGATAGAGAGTTAGAAACATCGATCAGCTGCCTCCTGTACACCCCCTACTGGGGATGTGCCCACAACCAAGGTACATGCCCTTGACTGGGATCGAACCTGGGACCCTTCAGTCTGCAGGCCGGCGCTCCATCCACTGAGCCAAACCGGTTAGGGTGGAAGCAGTAGTTTTTTGTTATTCCCTATATAGTGACTAGTAGAGAGCAAGAGTACTTTGTGTGTAGATTTGTCTTATGTTTGGTAGAAGGCAGATGCTCTTTACATGTTATGTAAAATTAATGAAATACAAGTAGGGAAGGCTCAAATAAGGTAAGGTATATAATAATTGGCGGGCTGGGGAAATGATCTTTGAATTCTTCCTAAAATTGTCTCTGTCACTCTTTTCTTGCTACCACTTGCGGTGTTGTTAGGTCACTGGACCTATCTGGGCTGGGGAGAGCAGCAGAGTACGTAAGAATTTGAATTCCTTATAATTTTCTTGATCTTATCCTTTAACATACTCTCTCTGAACTATAAAGCTGGATATTCATGCATACAGCATATATAACTTCATGCGCGCCCTCCCCCCCCTTCCTCTCCCCTCCTTAAATCTCAGGAGATAGTTATCTTTAGTGAAATGTTATGTCCTTTCAGGCTGGTTTCTTGGAGACTGTGTGTATATGATAAATTTCAAACCAAAGTTCCAGTTACAATTCTGACAGGATCTCCTGAGTTTTCTTTGCCAAAGACGAGTAGTACCATCAGCCGCCAATGTAGGAAGCCCTCTCCTTTGTTTTCTTGACTAAGGAGTGCAGTGACTAGAAGGAGAAGGATTATTCTGGGGGAGGTCATTGGTTTGGTGAAGTGCGCAAGAGGCCGATGACATGGTTTCACTTTGCTTGAAGCAGCCCAGGTAGGCTAACTTTCTTCTCGAGCTTGGAGAGTGGGTAGTCAGTCCTTTCTAGCAAGATACACAGCCCTAGGCTAACGTTACTGGTTGTTACCCATCTGGCAAGGGGTTTTGGCTGAGTCCCAGTAATTAGGTGTCCAATAGGTGCTAAGAGGCACTAAATTTTGTCCTGTTACTGGAATTTCTCATAGAGTATGTATTTTCTGTGATTTGAATCCTGAGTATTTTCACTAGGGAACTGCTCAAAGGCAGCCTAAGAGAGCTTGGATAAGTTAAGGTTTTAACTTAAATAGAAAATAAGTAACTAATGAAAAATAAAAAGGTTTGAATTCTTTTTCCTTTCTTCTCTAGCTGGTAAATTTCTGTCTGAATTTTGGATTTAAAGACAGGGACTTAATCCAGGAGCACCACACACCGGAGAGCCTCACTGTTCAGTATCTCATTCAATTTTGTTTGGGTGCCTACTCTATGCCTGTGGCCCAGATTTGTCCCAGATTAGATTTCTTCTCCAGTTTACTTTTACAGGTTTATTTTCTGTCATTCCCTTCCATATTCTCTTCTTCTGTTCCTCTCTTTTATCTCATTTCACTTCCCTATATTTCCTTTCTCCCATTCCCTCCTACTTTTCATATTCTATTCCCAATCTTTTCTTTCCATAGGTATTTTTTCTTAATATTTGTACTTTATTTCTTTAGTATAGAAATGCTGTCAGCCTTTAGGAAAGTTTTGGAATATTCCTCCCCTTAGCCTAGAAAAATAAAAAAGCAAAGCATGCCCTAGCCGGGTTGGCTTAGTGGATAGAGCATCAGCCTGTGGACTGAAGGGTCCGGGTTCAATTCTGGTCAAGGGCACATGCCAGGGTTGTGAGCTTGAGCTCCAGTAGGGGGAGTGTAGGAGGCAGCCAATCAATGATTCTCTCTCATCATTGATGTTTCTCTCTTTCCCTCTCCCTTCCTCTCTGAAATCAATAAAAAGATATTAAAATAAAAAAGAACATCTCACACACACACACACACACACACACACACACACACACACACACAAAGCATTATTTAGAAGTAATAGGTCAGATGCAGTGAGAAACTAAGGGTCCCTATCCTAAGTTCTAGCTCTGGATCATGGGCTCCTACTTCTGGCTGAGCTGCTCTCTCTTGCCTCACAATCAGTAGGATTGTCTATCAGGGCTTCCTTTTTGGAGACTCAGTTTTGGTTTTCTGGATTATGTGCTAATTCTTCTCCTGCCAGAATTTCAGTAGACTCTTTGCTCTGTCTTCTTTTTTGTATCTGCCCCCTCCCCCTGTATGCATGAATAATTCAGCACTGACTTTTCCCACACTTAACTCGTTCTGTTGGTTCAGGGAGAATTATACCTGAAAGGCATTCTGGTTTTCATCCCTTGATCCTTTTAGTCTTCAGAACAACAAATACATCAAGGATTAAAACCAGTGCCTCCAAAATCTTTTTCCTAATATGTGATCAGAATGCTTTGTATTTTTTTTGACTGATCTTGTTCCTGCCCATTTTGAAGGTTAGCCTTTTTCTCGTACTGATTTTTTCCCCTTGGGGTTCTAATCACTAACCTCTTTTTTTTTTCTTCTTATGCTCACATGTTGCATTAAACTCAAATGGGAAAAGCTTACCCCTACATCCTGCTGTACCCACAAGTGTTGTCTGGAATCCAATGTTCAAGTTTTCTTCCTTGCGTGTAAAGCCCACATTTGTGCTGCTCCCTGTCTCTTTTAGTGGAATTGCCTACTTGGCTGTAAAATGAAGAAGCCCAAGGGTCATTTTCCTGTTACCTTCCATTTGTCTCCAAGTTTTTATTTTTATTTTTTATTTTTAGAGAGAGAGAGAGAGGAAGGGACAGAAAGAGAGAGAGAAACATTTAAGTGAGAGCAAAACACTGATTGGCTGCCTCCTGCATGCCTCCTACCTGGGATCCAGCTGGGAATTGAATCGACAACCTTTCAGTGCATAGAGGATGATGCCCAACCAACTGAGCTACACCAACCAGGGCTTGTTTCCAAGTTTTATCATTTCTGCCTGGATTTCCTCCCCACCCTAGTTCATTAACTCTTTTTAATTTCCACTATATGGATGCAGGTCCTTATCTCCTTGATGAGAAAGTGGAAAAGCCTAACCTTATGGTCTTTAAGAGGCTTCTGTTTCCCATACTACTACTAAGGTGTTGTTGTTTTTTTTAATTACTAATATGAGGAATCCATCATTTGCTAAAAGTATCTCCTTTTTGGGATGGTGAATATTGGTTTTCCTCATTTCGAGCCAAGTGGGAACTTGGCAAGAAAGGAAATATGGGAATTTATTAGTTAGGTACATAGAGGATGGTGTCAGAAATGGCTTCCCTGTATAGTAACCTATAAAGCACAGTTAGGTTGAGCTCCCTTTCCAAGCACAGTGTTGCACATTTTTATTTTTGCTTGGAGCAGGATTTGTACTGTGCTCATCATTTAGGACTGGCCGGAAAAACAAATAATTCTATGAAATTATAGTCACTGTTAGATAAACTTGGCTGCATTATCAGCAAGATCCCATTGGCAGTGCATGTGCTTTCTTCTTCAGCCCATGCTTTGGAGAGGAATTCTGAACCTAGGGTGTTGGTGCTTGACAGGAATTATTACAAAAACCTGTTATGCCCAGAGCTCGGGGTCCCCAATAATCCACCACCAGGGAGCCTCCTCCGATGCAAAAGCAACGAGTCTTTATTGATCAATTCTAGAATTGGCTCCCAGCCTCTATCCAGCACAGCGGTGAGGCGAGAGAGCGTGTCCCAGGAGAACAAAGGTTATATAGGGCTAGCTATTTGGGGTGGGCTTTAGGGGTGGCGTGAGTTACAGAGATTGGTCAGGGTTTTACAGCATAAGGGTCAGGAAGTGACCATCACATTCTGAAGATTGGAGCCGTCCTCCACTATAGCCTTATTAGGACCTTAGCTACATTTCTGGAGCTTCATTGGTCCACTCAGGTGGGTGGTTGGGAGAGTTAGGACAATACCAGCATTCTTGTGGTCCCAGCCTTGCAAGACAAGGTAGAGGAGAGGGAGAAGAGTATGTCCCTGCTTCGTCCTTGAAGAGGGAGGAGGGTGCATTTCTGCTTAGTTCTGCTTAGTTCTTTCAAGTTCCGTTCTGTCCCTTCAAACCCAATGTTTCAGCAAGATAGTAAAACTGCTGCTTTTCTCAGTGCATCTGGACCTTTAGGGTGACTCTTAAGCCTTGGCTTGACCTTCCCAATTTCCTTGGCCAGTTTCTGATGTTGGACCTGTTTGTTTGGTTCAGCCATGTCTTTTAAAGTCTGAATTATCAAGACAATTTTAAATAAGAAAAATCTCTTTATTAAGTAAGATATGGGAAAACTATTTTTTTTCTTTTTCCTCCTTTTGATAATAGTAGAGGACCAGAATCTGTTTATGACATTTAAAAGCAGGTTTTCCTTAGGGTTATGATAGCTAGAGAAGTAGAATCTCAAAGAATTCTGCATTGGAAAAATGCAACTCCTCTAAGAATCAACACTAAAATTAAACCAAGTATTCTATCTCATTTGATAAGGGGAGAAACTAGTGGCTATTGAGACAGTTCTGCACATGACTCTGAGGTCACTAGACTTGGTGCAACTCAGCTTGCTCTTGTTCTCACAGCTGGAGGTTACCGAAGTTAGAAGCAGAAAGAATTCTGAAGAATTAGGTAAAGCCTGGGTGCTTTCACTGTGCTTGTTCCACAGCTTTTGAAGATCCCGATAGTGCTGTCGATGACCGAGATAGTGACTATCGCAGTGAGACCAGCAACAGCATCCCACCTCCTTACCATTCGACTTCCCAGCCCAACGCTTCTGTGCACCAGTTCCCTGTGCCTGTGCGATTGCCACAGCAGCTGCTACTTCAGGGCAGTTCCCGCGACTCTTGCAACGATTCTATGCAAAGTTATGATTATGACCTCGATTACCCAGAGCGGCGGGCTCTCAGGTGGGTGTTGGAAACAAAGCACTTCCTTTTCCTAGTATGCTGAGCTCAGGGTACAACTGACATCAAGGATTTGGGCATTTTAACCTGAGGTGGTAATGGAAGTATAGCAGTAAGATGGGCCCAGATACAGTTATTTTGTGTACAGTTATTTTTTCTCTTCCACACATTCACATTTATACGTTTCCATCAGAAATATTTCCCTTTATGATTAGCGATTCTCAGATGGTGAGAGAACACCCACTGGGGGTGGATGTCTGGAAAAAGCCTGCTCACTTTTCTGCCCAGCCCGGAGATTTTGATTCACCCTTTACCAAAATTAAAAACAGAAAATCACATATGTTAAAGGTTTGGATAACCTTCCTACCTAAATATTTCCCTGGGAATTTCAGAAGAAAACTACTATGGATCTCTCTGTAGCAGATTCAGTGCTTTTGCTGGACCTTTACATTTTTTACTTTATTAATTTCTTAAATATATAAAACATTTGCGTGGTTAAAAAAAATGTTAAGGTGCAATACAGCATACAGCAAAGAATCCCACTCACACTTTTTGGCAAAAATAGTACAGATGATGTTTCCTTCACATAAGGTTACTTTGTCTCATTATTGGTGTTTAGTTTTATCTCTTGGTTAATAAATCTGTATATACCATATTTTTCCAATGTAAAGTTATCTTTCCCCTTTGTAATTAGGGATTTCTGGGTTATATCTGAGGTTGTGTCAATATTCTGTTTCCCCAACAACCTTTAACCCATTGACTTCAGCATCCATTGATGATCCTTACTTGAATCAATTGTTTCATTGGCTGGAGGTTAGTTTTTTAAAAACCATTCCAATTTATCACATATTTTGGTTGCTGAAATTCACCTACCTTAGGATGATCCCTTTAAAAAAATATTTTTATTGTTTTCAGAGAGAGGAAGGGAGAGGGAGCGAGAGACAGAAACAATGAGAGAGAATCATTTTTTGGCTGCTTCATGCACATCCCCTACTGGGGATTGAGCCTGAAACCCCGGCATTTGCTTGACTCTGAATCAAACCGTGACCTCCTGGTTCCTGGATCGACGCTCGTCCACTGAGCTATACCGGCCGGGTGATGATCTCATTTTCTGCCCCACCTTACCAAACTGGTGAATACTATTTATATCTTGAGCCTCAGATGATGGTCCACCTGCTAGACATCATCCTGTCTCAATTTACTATCATTATTGAGTATATTTTCAATGAAAATTTTTTTATTTATCAACCATCAAATAGAATTCTTACTCTTTATAATCTGATTCTAAAAAGAAACATGCCAGGAATCCTACTATAGTTGGTCCCTACTCCTTGCTGGTTTAGTATTTAAATATTTGGATATTGTATTCATTTGATTTTAGTTGTTTATATTGTCCCAACTTTAAGAAAAACACACACACACACACACACACACAACAACAACAACAAAATAAAACCCACATTTTGGCCCTCTTTCCCCTCTGTATTTGCAAGCATTAGATGTACAGGCCAGTAGTAATAATGGCACATCAACCTAAATGACTATATACTCTGCTGGACAACTGCAGTTGCCTAATACCCTACTATAATTTTATTTACTTCCTGGGATACTGCTATAATAAGTAACACTTAGAGGAGCATTAGTGATATACTTTAAGTTGCAAATTTTTCCCCTAAAATTTTTCTTTAATTGATCCCATATAAACCTGATTTTATTGTATTATATGAAATGAGGTTAAAAGTAAATACTTTATCAATTTCAGCAGAGGAAAAAATTAACATGAGTTTTAAAAAATATATTTTTATTAATTTCAGAGAGGAAGGGAGAGGGAGAGTGAGAGAGAAACATCAGTGATGAGAGAGAATCATTGCTTGGCTGCCTCCTGTGTGCCCCACACTGGGGATTTGAGCCAGCAACCTGGGCATGTGCCCTGACTGGAAATCGAACCATGACCTCCTGGTTCATAGGTCAATACTCAACCACTGAGCCATGCCAGCTGGGCAACATGATTTTTTGTTTAATCTTTATTGTTGAAAGTATTACATGTGTCCCCCTTTTTCCCCCACCAACCCCCTCCAGTCTACTCCTGTAAGTAAACTTTTATTATAGACATTTTTAACTTAAAGGTTTGAAGTGATTTCTTTTTTAAAACTTTTTGAAGAAATTATCTTACTAGCATTGATTTTTTTAAACTTCTCTATTACTATAAATACTAAATTCTTGGAAATAGTCTAAGTTCTTAAGTTGTACAGTTTTATAAGAAGAACATTTAAAAATCTTGAGGGAATAAACATGTTTGCAGTATCTTCCAATAAATCAGAAGTATAAGAATAAATAGCTTCATTCACTCTATCCCTGGCTATCTATTGATTTTAAGTTGTAACTATAAAGACTTTTTTCAGACTGGACTTAGTTTAGTTTGAGTTTTTGAGAATAATGGAGAGTAATGAAACTGCATGTAAAAAAATATGTAAAGTTGATTTCCTCACTCTATCAAATGGTCTTCTGTCTAATGAGTCCAGAATAACAGGCAATGTATGTAAATTATGTAAAAATACCTAATTTGAGGTTTGATAGTAGAATTGGACTTTGTTATATCGCCAAAGTATCTCTAGTGTTAAGGGGTTTCAAAAGACTATCAGTCTCAAAGACTAAAAATCTTAAAGATTTTTAGCCACTAAGTTACAACTTTGATCTTTTTTTCTGTTTCCTAAATAAATGCTATTTGATGCTAGATCTATAAAAGAACACACTGAGCTGACAAGCTCCTAGTCTGCAGGCTCTCTCTACACCCCTACCTCACTACATGGGAAGTAGGCAGTCTCTAACCTAACTGAAAGAAAGGTCAGCTCTCTTCTGTATTCATTGACTTAAGTTGAACATGTGGCTTCTGCTGTTGTACTCAATATAGAGAAAGATTTTCATTTCACTGTAATCCTCAATGCATATAGTCTTAGATTTCACAAATAACAATTATAATGCTTTAAATAATTTGCTTTTTTTGGCACTGTAACAAGGTTTGACTTTTGATAGTCAAAGACTATTTTTATTATGCATATATTTTTTCTTTCTAAAAGAAATGTGTTTGACCATATTGTTGGCTATACTGCCTCAAATATAACTTTCAGCAGGTTAACAGCTTGGCTTCTCTTCAGACCCAAATTCATCAACAAATTTAGGTTTCTTGAAATCCCTTGATATATTTTCATGGAATACTTAACAGTTTTAAAGTTGGCATTGTAGATACATTCTATATATCAGCGATTTTCAACTGGTGTGCTGCAAGAATTTTGAAAACATGCAATGCCTGACTATTTAGTCAGGGGCACTGACCTCTTTTTCCTTAGATTGTCAAGTAAAAAATGACAACAGCCAACAACAACAGCTATCCGGTGTGAATGAATCAAAATCATACCTATTTTTTTGACAGATCGGCAAAAATATAATGTATTTTTTTGGTGTGCTGCAGAATTTTTTAAAAAATATATTTTGCCGAAACCGGTTTGGCCCAGTGGATAGAGCGTCGGCCTGCGGACTGAGAGGTCCCAGGTTCGATTCCGGTCAAGGGCATGTACCTTGGTTGCGGGCACATCCCCAGTGGGAGATGTGCAGGAGGCAGCTGATCGATGTTTCTCTCTCATCGATGTTTCTAACTATCTCTCTCCCTTCCTCTCTGCAAAAAATCAATAAAATATATTTTAAAAATATATATATATTTTATTGATTTTTTACAGAGAGGAAGGGAGAGGGATATAAAGTTAGAAACATCGATGAGAGAGAAGCATCGATCAGCTGCCTTCTGCACACTCCCTACTGGGGATGTGCCCGCAACCAACGTACATGCCCTTGACCGGAATCGAACCTGGGACCCTTCAGTCTGCAGGCCGACGCTCTATCCACTGAGCCAAACCAGTCAGGGCGTGTTGCAGAATTTTAGTAATTAGTTTATATGTGCCATGAGATGAAAAAGATTGAGAATCGCTGCTATACTAGTATATTGCTGAGACATGTTCATTTAGGTTTTTTTTTTTTTTTTTTTTTTTTTTTTTTTTTAAATACGTTTTATTGAATTTTTACAGAGAGGAAGGGAGAGAGATAGAGAGTTAGAAACATCGATGAGAAAGAAACATCGATCAGCTGCCTCCTGCACACCTTCTACAAGGGATGTGCCCGCAACCAAGGTATATGCCCTTGACCGGAATCGAACCTGGGACCTTTCAGTCCACAGGCCGATGCTCTATCCACTGAGCCAAACCGGTTAGGGCCATTTAGTTTCTTTCTTAGAAAATAAAGGATTTTAAAAAGCTTATGATAGCTAGTGAAGTATTTAAAAGTTACTATTATAGCTGTTCTTTTTTGATGTGGAAAATACTCTTTTACTACATTGCTATAATATTAAGTTAAGATCATGTGGGTTTCCTTATATTTTTCAGTCTGAATGGTTTTTATTAAATTGATAATTTTACTAATTCTGGTTTTCTTATTGGATGTGCACTAAATCTTATTTGTTTCTTTTCCCTGTTTTTCCTTTTTTCTTTCCTTCATATTTCTTCAAACTTATCTCTTTACACTAGACAAAGCTTACAGACTAAAACTGACAGAATTAGGATTATTTCAGCTTTCTCTGATACTGACTATAAAGAGCAAAAAGGTATATCTGAGCAGATAGAGGGGAGAACATCACAAGAGTTGCTAGAAAACAGTAACATAAACATAAAAGAAGCACAGATAAAGGAAATTAAAACTCTTTCAAAAACTGATCAATGTTACAGCCAACAAGTACAACCAAATTACAAGAATTGGAAAAAGATACCCTTTCAGAGCCAAGAAACAGAATTCTCTACTGCCTCTAACTTTGACCTTAAGTTTGAAGCATCTGTTTCCTCCAGATATCCTCAGAAATATGATACAATTGATAGAAGAAGGAAAAAGAAACCCTTGTACCGTCATTTGGAAGACAATGAAAGAAGACAGTATAATGATAGATTAGGAACGAAGACTAACTTCAAAAGTATGTATCCTAATAGTGAAAATTGTAACCTTTGCGACATTGAAAAGAAGAAAAATAATTACCCAGTTTTGCACCCCTACAAAAATGGATTTGTGGTTAAGTGTGGCATGTGGGCCGCTAAGTTGGAAAGTCATGATTATGATCTTCCAGGTTGTTTTAAGAACTGCGAAGAGTCATCTGGCTTAACCCAGCATGTCACTGACTTCATTCCATTGGATATTCTTGAAGATTCTACTAGCAGTACTTCTGATGAACTTCTGGATTCGCCCATTTCTTCTGATAAGCAGGAAGGTTTACTGTCACCAACATGCCATCCATCCAATGTCCATCATATTAGAGGCTTTCCCAAAGAATATTATGTAGCAAATCCAGCATTCCCATTACAAAGGATGAATTGCAATGCAAACGCACTTGGAGATCTGTCTGGGTGTCCCATGGAAGAGAGAACCCTTTCTTCTACTGAACCTAAGGAGAACTATATTGTTACAATAGATGAGCTTCAGTGTTTTGTAGAAACAGTCTCAGAATATTTAGCAGAGAAGGAAGAGGAGATTGATAAATATGGTTCCCTTTCAAAAACTAAAAAAACATATAAAATTAATAGTACTGTTGATAATGCAGAACAAAAAAACCCTGGGGATCAAATACCACCTATAAACATTGTCAAGAATGACAAGGACAAAGCCATCTATTTTCCTGAGTTGAGTGGAGTGAAATGTGCTGTTGGTTCTTTGTTCAGTTCACTCACAGAAAAGGTGGGCTCGGGCACAAAGCATCTAACATTCTCTATGGAAAAGCTGGGTTCTTCAGCTCCAGAGAGAACAGAAACTCTTATTAAAATAGAGACAATTAATTCGGGATCTAGACCCAGAGCCAAGTCAGTATCAGAGAAGGATCTTTCCATGCAATCTCCATTACCTTCTCAAACAATTGATAATAAGGATTTTGGCAGACATGACAAAACCTCTGGAAATGAGCACATAGGCATTAAAACTGGAAGTTTAAGCTTTCAGGATGCAGCAGAAACTCTTGGAAGGGACTCTGCTCCACAGAGTCAGAGTTCAGTTATAAAGTCTGTTTTCAGCATGCTAATGCCATTAAAGATCTTTCCAGAAAAGGATGAAACCACAAAAGGTAAGAACAAGCCAACAAGAAAGAAAAGCTTCGTTGGGTGTGGTTCAGAATCAAGTCAAAGGGAAGATACACTTGGCAATGACAGTAGCATCATTGCTTTAGATAAGAGTAATGGAGACAATACAGGCTTGTCCCAAATGACCATAAGTGAGGATTTGTTGTCTTCGCAAGCAGCCAGTGAATCTTCAAACTTAGCTAGTTCTGCAAGTAAGAAAGATGATATTGAGAATCTGTTGGAAAGAAAACCCCACATAGACCGCTCTCTGTTACCAGATGAACCAAAAATACTAGTATGTGCCAAAGATACTCCAGGACAGCCTTGTGTAGCTGGCAGTAGAACTGCAAATAAAGAGGCTTCTTCAACGGCATTAGAGAGAGACAGAGTTACTGGTGATGATGATTTCCTTGAGCCACTCAGAAAATCTTTTAGCCAGTTTTTACTCACTTCCACTGAAAACTGTTTAAAGGAAACTTTGTCAGAATCTAGGAAAGTTCATCAGTTGGAGGACAATGGATGGGAAAAGATCCCTAAGAAAGATGGACATTCCTTTTCTTTTAGTGGAAAATTACATATTCCATTTCTCAGTGTTCTTAGTCATTCTGAAAAGCAGCAGGATTTAAGAGAGAAAGGAAGCGTTTTTCCTTTGTTTAAATTTCCTTTCACTGACAGCCATATCACTGTCAATGACCAGAGTTTTCATGGCTCAGAAGTAGCCACTGATGAAGAGATGCAAAGAAACTGCCATGAAATTACCAAACTTAGTTCAATAAAATCTAGTTCAGTTACAAATATTCATAATAATGTAGGAAAATTTGGAGACACAGAGAAATTTAATAAAAATGACCAAAAAAATTGTCCTGAAGATGCCACACTTAATAAAATAAAGTCTGATTCAGTTCCAAATACTAATAATGATCTTGAGAAATTTGGGGATGTAGAGGTATTAAATTCCAGTGACCACACAGCAGAAGAGAACTGTGAAAGAGGTACTTTAGCCATCCTTGCAGTTGTGCCCAAAGAGCATAGGCCTTCTGATTCAGGAGAAAGTAAGACTCTTACACAAGTGGCATCTTTATTAGTATCAGACCCTTCATTAGCATTGACTTCTATTTCACAACCCACCTTGATTAATGAAATTAGTGAAGACAGACTTGTAGATAAAGCTTCCAAGAAAAGAACACAAGGAGGCCTCCTTTCTGGCTTGTTTAACAGATTCTCTTCTCTTGAAAACTTGTCTAGTACACAAGAATTAAATTTGAAAAATGATGATTCTCATCACAGGCATAATACCCCAAGCTTACTCTCAGGAATATTTAACTTGATAACCAGTAGCAGTATGACTGATTATAAACCAGATGAAGCAAAGTCCATGTCTTTAGGTGACATAAAGAATTTGAATGGAAATAAGCATTTATTCTTGGATGAGATCCCTGTTACTTCATGTGTGACTTCTGAGAACCAGAGGAATCATGGTGAAAAGCAAGAAACTTCTGGCTTCATAAAAAGTTTCTTATCTTCACCTAAAGAAAACATACCGTTGGTTGATGCTTGGGTTGATAATCATCATTGCCCCTATATATGGAAAAACCAGCACAGTGAAAAGCATTGCCCCTCTTCTGAGAACAGTGTGCCAAATGCTCAGCAAGACCTCTTAGAAAAATCTTTGGTTAAGAGGCCAACACCACACCATATTGTTGAGGCAAACTTATATGAAAATTCAAATAAGTTAAATCCACCTATACTAAATACTAACATTCTTAATAAATCAAACCACTGTCAAGCTTTTGAAGAGATGAACAATCATTTCTGTTATGAATGGGACTCTGATATAAAAGATTTATCTAAAGATTCCAGAATACTTCAGCCAGTTTATTATATGTTGAATCAAAATACATTTCCATCAGCTGATGTTTTTGTGTGGCCTGATTCAGAAAACCCAGCAATAAATTTTTGCCAAAAAGATCAAAATGCAAATATCTTGGAGTGTAGAACAAATTCAAACAGTGTCATTTGGTGTGACTTACCATATGAATCATTCAATCAGTTTGCATTTAATGAAGATTACTTAGTAAGAGGTGATATGTGGGCAGCTAACTCATGTAGAAATTCTTGTCATCTTTCAATTAATGAGACTGAGAATTCACTAGAAGAATTACCTATTGACTTAAGTTGTTCTTCAGGTTATGAGAAGACTTCATACCCCATAGATGATCAAGAATCATTAAGAATGGATGAAAACTTTGTTTTTTCAAATATTGATTATGAATACCAGGAATGGTTGTCATGTCTTGAAAATGGAGTGTGGTGGCCATCAGAGGATGGAGACTATGGATATTATATGTTCCATGATGGTCAATATTCTTTTCTCACTGATTCTACTGGGCAGTATGCATATTTATTTATACCCGATTGTCCTTATCAAGAGTATTTAAATTGTGATTCACAGACTAATGATTTATCAGGTATTATATTGGATGACAGCATTATTTCTGCCTGTAGTTTTAGAGTACTAGATAAAGGCGATGAATTATTGTGGTATGTTGAAGAGGAACCAATTGATGACCCTCTTGACTTATCTATAGTTTTGCCAAGAAGTGAGGGACCAATGTATCTAAATTTAGGAACATTTTCACAAGTTCTTGAAGAGTCAAGGTACAACCAAAGGGATCGACCATTAGATTTTTCAGTCTGTAATTCTGAAAAATTTGAAGGAGATTTTGGATTTTTTGAAGAAAGGTTGTGTGTTTCTGAAGACTTTGAACATACATTGGATCTCAGAAATCAGCCCCAAAGTATTGATAATCATGTCTTAAATAAAAATCAAATTAAAGAGGGAGACAAGAACCAGTCTGTAGTTAAGGATTCATTAGTTTACTTTCCCAGTTTTCATTGGCTTCAGACTTCTGAAGAAGGTACTACTTTGGTTCATCTTGAGAATATGACTAACAGCCCACAACAAACAGAAGAGATGTCATTGTTGAACAAAGTGACTTCATTATTTTCTGCTTCGGGTGCTCCAGTTGGAAGTACTTTGAATTTTGAAAAGAACAAATCCTTAGAGTCTTTGGTCACACAAAAGAAGGATCAGCAGTCAAACTTAGCAGAGCTCACAAATGACAAGCTTCAGTCATTAATCTTGAGTAAGCAATCAGAGAGTAAATCTCAAAATGAGGAGGAAAGTCTTCTTAAGGATTCAGAGAGACAAATAGTATCCGATGTTCAGCAACCAGAATTTACTGAAAATATGAAGCAAGAATTTCCTTTAAAAAAAAGCATTCATGTGAAAAAACAAAGTTTGTTGAAATCTGTTTTCCAGGTAAGCCAAATAACTCCTCAGGCTAAATTAGGTATAGAAGATGATGAAATCACGACAACCGACTCTGTTTCAGTTCCTCTTGCATCGCAGTTTAGTAGGAATGAACACAAAAATAGTGAGATTTCCCAGGACCAGTCTTCTAAGGAGTCTGAGAGAACATTATTTAAAAGTGCATTGAAACTCTTTGGTCGGGGAGAAGACTCTTCAGTAAGTGCAACAGCAAATGAAAAACAGGCATCTGGGTTTTTGAACCTCTTTAAAACCCAGATGAATAAAGAAGGATCACCAGACTTAGAAAAGAATGGTGATAAAAATAGAAAAATAACATCTCAGGAAATGAATGAATCTTCTGGTGTTTCAAATTTTTTTGGTACCCTTGGGGATTTCTTTAAAACCAATGTATCTTCTACACAGACAACTGAAAATATGTCTGTTTCTTCAATGACTAATAAGGATGAGGTCAAGTCAAGTCCTAATCCCACAAAGCCAACTATCCAGGATTTTGGGAACTTTCCTGCCGCACCAGTTTCCTCTAAAGGGAAGGTTCATGTTAGAAGTCTAAATAAGCAGACTACTCTTGATACTGGGCTAATGGAACCATCAACTAAGGATATCCAGGGCAATAATTTGACTGAAAAAGAGGTACCCTCCAGAGACCACTTAATCCAGCAGTCACCAAATCCATCTTTCTCAACAAATTGTTTCAACGAGTCTTCAAGAGAGTCTACAATAGAAACTAGTGGTGTGTCTACAGTGACAGAAGTTTCAGGAAGTAATAAAATATCTTTTGATATTCTGAGCAGAAAAAATTCAAATGAACAAGATAATTTTTCTGATAAATACTTAAGTTTTTCAACTGTCACAACATCTCCACCCCAACTGGAGTTGCCAACCAGAAAGAGTATATTTTCTTTCCTGACTGGATCCGAAAAATCTGAGAACAAAGCCTCTGCTACTCTACCAAGAACCAAATCTCAATCAGAAGGGCTATTCACACTCCCTTCCTTTTTCCCCACTAATTCAAGCATCAAGAAAGATGCCTCTCATAATAGCTCTTTTAGTTTCTTCAGCTTGTCCTTTTTGGATGAAAAACAGCAGACTCCTGGGGAAAAGCATAGCCTCTCAACTATTGCTCCAGTGACTTCCCAGCCCTGTAAGAAGCCAAATGTTTTTGTAGACATGTGTGGCACAGTGAATGAAGGTTCCAATGGCAATAGAGGTAGCATAGTCCAGGAGTTAATTCATGAGCAGCAAACGGCTCCTTGTGTTTCCATTAACAACACCATTGAGGTTACCTTCCTTGATGATGAGCTCAATGTAGGGGAGAACTATCAGGGAAAGCTAGGGTCCAGTGATGGATCTTCAGCAGATTTCCAGTTGAATCAGTTGCAAACAGACATTGCTCCTCATTCACCAGGATATCAGGCACAGACTGAAGCACTGCTTATTGGTCCAGAGACCTTTGAGGTAGCTTCTCATGAAGATTTCATACAGGAAGCCTTCCTCAGCTGCTCACTGGCCTCAGCTTTTCCACATGATAGTCATTTGATTGAAAAGCTCAACAATTTAGACACTTGTACTAACCACCACCAAAATGAAAGGTTTTCTGGTGGCCCATTGAACTTGCCATTAGAAAAGGCCCCTGTTGAGATCTTAACACAGATCCTGGAGCCAACCTCTTCCTCTGAAGAGCCGGGGTGTGCAGGGCACCTCCAGGGCCGAGACACAGATAAAGAGGAAGACAAGTCATTGTTGGGCTCTTCAGTAGGAATGCTTTCAGGGTTTGTGAACAAAGTGAAATCTTTCTCTGGGAGCTCAATTGAACCTCCCAAAACTCTCTCTGGATTTTTCTCCTCTTCTAAATCTCCAAAGAAAAACTCTTTTTTCTCTCTTGCTTCTGGTGCATCATCTCCGCCACTCAAAGGTGAGTTATTTGGAATTTTCAAAAGTCCCAAACCAGAGACATGCAAACAAGAATCATCTATCCCAGCTACTGCATGGCTTCAAAAAGGTAGTTCCAGAGATGCTGTAGGATCAGTACCTCCAGAAAATTTATGGAGAGAGGATGTGTCTGCGTCATTCAATTCAGAATCTGCTGTCAATGACTATAGAATGACTGTGGTTAGAGCCAAGTCAGACTCGGAGACCTTGACAAATGGTCCTAACCTCACAACTGAAGTGGAAAACAGTAATATTCCTGACAATACCTTGACAGATGATCTAAAACTAATGACTGAAATGGAAAACAGTATTCCTGACAATATTCCAGTATCCCAGGGTTCTGAAACAATTGGGGCTACATCTTCTGTCTCAGGAGATGATACTGGACAAGGAGTATTATCTCTGAGTGATGAAGGAGACATGGGGGTGTTGCAGGGCACAGACACAGAGGCATCATTTGAAGCAGAGAATATTTCATTGCCAACACAGTCCCATCCAGATCCTACCTGGATTGCCAAAGAGCTTCCTTCTCCAATTCAGCCACTTCCTCTTGAGCCAAAGCCAGCTATGCAATCTGCCTCCACAAAACGAAACATCTTAGAGCTACAGGGAACCAATTCACTAGAAACCAGTACCACAACACCGCTCAGTGAGGCAAGCTCAGTTGGTCAGAGAGCCACACTGGAAACCCAAGGATCCCTTTCTCACCCTCTGTGGGAGGAACCTGTGCTTTGTGCCAAAGAAAGTTATGGGATATTTGATGCCCAGAAAGATCCACCTACAGCCTTCCAGGAAACAGAGCAGCCAAGATCACGTTTTGAGATCCCAAACATGACCAATTGGCCAAAGCTCCATTTCCCATCCTCTGCTACTGACTATGGGAAACCACTGAGCTCTTTCTTTTCCCCACCTTCCTCCTCTGGCAATAGGGGAGCAGAGACTGGTTTAATGTCCGGTTTTAAGAAGTTATCAGCTCTGTTTGAGGGAGGTAATGAGGGAAGGGCCAGTATAGTGGCAAATGATTCTAAACTAAGGTTTGGAAAGAAGCTGGATCTTTTGTTCCCCTGGCCAACAGAGCACAAAGGGGACCCTGAACAAATGCCTACAGAATCCTCCACTCCAGTTTTGATTTTCAGCAGTGACCAGGACTTTAACTCCAGCGAGGCTGACAAAGCCTTGGAGTCTTCTCAAATGTCTGGGGCCAGTGCTGACCCAGCTAAGGTCTCTGCTCATCTCTCTGTGACCTCTGATCGGCTGGAGCCCAAGCCGAGTATGGGTGCTCATGGGCTTTCAGGGCTTGGAGAAGTGGAAAACCAGCAGGAAATCCCAGCATCTGGAGAAGACTGGAATACCAAAGGCAACCTCTCAGGCCTCACCAGTCTTTCAGAGAGTCATGAGGAAGAGCACTGTACTGTCTCTGGGCTACTTCACCAGCCAGAAACAAAAGGAGGGGAGGCAATGCCTGCCAGCTCTGACTCTGTTTTGAATGTACAGCTGCCAGTTACTCTGCATGGCATCAAGGAAACAAAGACCAATGAAAGGCCTGTTCTCAAATAAAGCATCATAAATGATTTCAAGGAATTGATCATTTATGATGCAATGACTTAGAGGTAGATTAGATATAGCCTGCTTTTCATCCTTCCTCTGTCTTTCCTAGCACCCGAATTTCGTGTTAGAGGTTAAGTAACAAGAAATAATGTATGGGTCTTTTCATCCTCTCCCTTCTCTATAGTGCCAAATTTAATTTTATTTATTGGAACAAGAAGTTTCCTACTTAAAGAAAAGGCTAGGCCCTGACATTTACTCACTCTGATTTGCTCTGCCTTATATAACATGGAATGGAGAAGGGAGGGTAGGAAGAGGCAGCAAGTAGTTGAGTAGTATATATTAATTACAACCACATGATGGGCTAGGATGCTTCCATGGCCTTCAGCACTTATATCTGTAATGGCTGGGGAGAGACCTACTTTACTTCCCTTTTCCAAGACTTCTATACAAAGTACAAAGGATGGCTTGGGATAATCTGTATACTATATCCTATTCCACATGAATTTGCATAGCTTCTTCCAGTCTGTGCCTTTTCTATCTATGAGACTTGTGTCTGATAAATGCTTTGAATGAAGTCTCACAGGAGCTCAGGGCTATTATTTGCTGTAGTTCTTCAGTCTGGACCATTGTCAGGTCTATCTGCAAAGGGTACTATTATTTCTCCTAAGAAGAAGCACCATGCAGTGCAGTTTAAGAATGATGCTTTGATCTCTGGCCAAAAACTGTCCAAAGAGGCTGGTCAGGGGCTTTAGAGATTGTGTGTGTGTGGCGGGGCGGGGGGGGGGGGGTGTGTGTGTGTGAAAATATCAGGTAATTGGGAGGAACCATAGGGAAAATATTACTGGAAAATAACCATGTATCTTCATTTGGCCAAGAGTAAACATAAGCCCTTTAGTTGAAGGCTTGACTCTCTGGCTTTCTAGCAGGTTACCAGAAGTAAAATGAGGGCCCCTGACTTAGATGGAACTATCCAAATGGACTGGGATAGGTCTTGTAGATTGTCACTAAGTCTCTCTATCTTGAATAGGTCGGAATGTCTTAGGTTCTACATATGGCTGAAGGGAGTAACTTCTGGGTACTGCTCTTCTTTTTGGCCATGAGTCACTGCTACAACCCATCCTACCCCAGATCTGGTGCTACAGAAAGACCACGTCCTAGGTCTTTGCTACAACTTCTAACTCTCATAGCAGGGGAACAAATTTCCTTTCTGGGTATGGGAACTCGGGTGTTTGAGAGAGGGTTGGGTTGACCTCTCTTTAGGTACAGAAATTCATTAATATGGCCCTGACCTAGATCCTGGAGTTGGACTTTGTCCACTTTATCCAAAATTAAGCTATGTCCAGAGAACAACTTAGTTACAGATGGGCAAGTTTATCTATGGGACATTCTGTATGCTGTCAGGAATATCATTGTAACATTCATGAGATGAATGGTCAATGAAATTCCATGAGGAATTTCTTGATCCTAACCTCCATCTCTCAGTGGCTTCCATTACCTTATTGTGCAGATGTCTGAGAGATAATTGAAGGGATATGTCCATTGTCCTTTGCTCATTCTAAGGCACAAGCATCCACATTAACAATTCTACAGGAAGGAAAGGGGACCTCAATTTAACAAATAATAGCAAAAGGGAGTAGAGTTCATCCATTTTATTATGTGAAAATTATAAAACTTTAATCACAGGCACTGGACAAGTTTCGTTAGAAGTCTGAGTAAAGAATTTTAGACTTTTAACAATAGGCTTTTTAATAATTCTTAATCTACTTATGAATATCACATTAAGACAAGGCATGCTTCAAAGTCAATTGCTGTGTTGAGGTTAAGTGCTGTTTAAGAACCCAGCATGTGTTTTTTCCCCTGTTGTGACTGCTAAGTAGAGACTAGGTCTTCTAGATTGTAAAGTTTGGTCCTCCATTCCCAGGAACCTCCTGTTTGTGATTCTTGCCATTGATACAATCATTATTTCCTGGATTAATCTATTACTTTTACTCTGATCCTTAGTTTGCACTTACTTACTCATCTGTATTCCTCTCCTTCTCACAGCCCCACCAGCAGTAGTAGGTATGGCTCCTCCTGTAATGTGAGCCAAGGAAGCTCTCAGCTGAGTGAACTAGACCAGTGTCATGAACAAGATGATGACCGTCGGGAGAGGGACTCAATTCATTCCTGCCACAGCTCTGGTAGCTTCTCTAGAGATGTCCAAGTGGGTTTTGGAGAACAAGAGAAAACCTTGGAGGTGACTGGTGAAGTAGAGAAGGGGAGAGCATGTGAACCCAAGGAGATGAAAGATGTCACAACCCATCCTACCCCAGATCTGGTGCTACAAAAAGACCACGTCCTAGGTCCCCAAGAGAGGTAGGTGATGGCTGCTTGAGGAGCTCACAAGGTTTCCTCAGTCCTACCCTGTTATATTGCTCAATATGTGCTTTTCATTTTTCCCCCTACAGTTGGGTTTGGTGGTGATGAGGGTACTGAGGCTTAGTTCTACATTGCTCCCTTTGATTTTTGGTATAAGTCCCAAGATATTTTAAAGATCTCTTGGGATCTTTGTAGTTAGCTAGAGTGTACCAGGCTTTTTTGAATTTGAAGTTCTTGGCTTACTAGGTGACCCCATATATGGTAGCCTCTGAGTGTGGAACTGACCTGAGCCCTGCAGACTATTTCATTCAAAGGAGCTGCTTAGAATGAAATAGGCTTCCAAGTATATTAATATTTAAAATGATTTTATGAACATTGCTTTTTGTTTTTGTGTGTGTGTGTTTCCCCCCCTGGCTGAGAAAACCAGGGCAGGGTTGAGATAGAATTGATATCAAAGCCAGATCTAACTCACCCCTCAGCCTCCGCAGGGCCTAGCAGTGTATCTGGTAGTTGGTACCCATAAGAAAAAATTTAAATGTTTCCTTTTAACAGTCTTATAATGAAACTTAGTACAGAGTTTGAGTGTTATTATTGAGCTAAATTGGTCAGTAATGTTGCTGATAGGTTAGGGCAGAGCACGATTTCTCAGTCTTGGCATTATTGACATTTTGGACCAGATAACTCTTTTTTTGGGGAGCTATTGGGTGCATTGTAGGATGTTTAGGAGTATCCCTGGTCTGTACACTCTAGATGCCAGTAGCAACCATTAGTGTGACAACCAAACATGTTTCCAGATATTGCCAAATTTCCGTAGCCCCATTTGAAAACCACTTATGGAGAGTGATAAGGGGTAGGTGTGACTTAGATTCTCAAATGTCAATATCTAATAATAAAGCTTCTCACTGAAAGATCAGAGCAATGGATGCTGATTACGAGGTAAAAGTGAGAGAATGGTTGGTATGTCAACTCTACCACTAAAAGTATAAACATATTTTCTCTTCTTCCTTTTTCTTAATCTTTAGTCATCCCTGATGGCTCATCTAATAGATGAAACATCCAGGAAATTGAGCTCTGGACCAACTTTTTTACTAGGTTGACAACCCACTGAAAGATGACTCTTTGTAGATCTTATGTAACCGGAACCAAGGTTCCGCTACCTGCCACCATGAAAGCCAAACTTGTGAGACAGATGCTGGTAAAAAAGGAAAGAGGCTTATTCAAGTGCTAGTAACCTGAGAAGATGGGGGACTTGTCGCAAAGCCCATCTTAGAATTGATATCAAAGCCAGATCTAACTCACCCCTCAGCAGGGGTTTTTATAGGGAGGGAGAGGGAAAGCAGAACAAAGAGATGAGGAGGAGGGGCTGTAGACGTGCAGGCAGTGTCCTTGCTGGTCCTGATACGGATTTTTAATGTCAGCATGCTGGAGGTCAGTGCCTGCGAAATTCCTGAAGTTGGGTGATCTGCATCAACTGAAGTTGTGGTCAAGGCTGTTTCTTGTTTAAGCAAGAGCTAGAACTGCTGATGCCTGCAGTATTCTTATAAGGAAACTGTCATTCTGTGAGTTTCTCTTACCAGTTTGTGAGTACATTTTATTCTAATTCCATTTCATGGAATTAGTCAGAGTAGTATTAAGTTTTTATTCCCTGTTAACTTAGACTTGGCAGATACTGTTGTCTGTGTAGAGTTCTTGGTAGAGCAGCAGAAGTGACCAGCATGAGCATTTGTCCTTCTCTACTGGCTGTGTCCTCTCAGATCCTAGCTGTGCAAGTGAATTCTACCTTGGCCAGAAGAGCTTACAAATGTTTTAGAACAATTGATCCAGTTAGATTACACTACAGCCAAGCATATACATTTTTATATGCCTAGATGGTAGGCACTTGTTTGTTGCCTTGGCGGTATACCACAGTGGGAGACAGGAGAAGTATTATCACCAAGAATCAACCACTATTCTACAGTTAAGGACCTGGATGATGACTTGTTCTAATCCAGCGTAGTATTTCTCTCTCAAAGCTGCTTTGTTATATTTATTGTTCATTTCACTGAGGGTGTACCTGAGGCAGCCCAAGGAATAATATCAAGGCAGAAAAAGGGCTGTGCTTTTTTTCTTAGCACTTTTGATGTAGTCTAGGAGTTGGTAAGCCTTCCAAAATACTTAGTAGAGCAGCAAGAGTTTTCAGGAACAAAATTCTGCCCTAAGGATGCCATGTAGAACCCCCAAAGGAGGCTGTTGGTCTTGAGAGGTGAGGTGAGTTATTCTACACCTCTCTGCACAGTTTTAATTCTAGACATTAACTCAGGCCCTTGCCATTGCTACTAGTATCCTGATCCCTGACTGTCCTAGTGAACTCTACCTCATTGGATGAGTGAAAAAAGGGGAAAGAAAGAGAAGGAACAGATGAGAAGCTCAAAGGAGTTGTCATTTCAGAGAGGATTTCTTTTTTCCACATTGGACATTCATGCTGTTTTAGTGGTCTGAATCACTAAACAAGTGTAGGCATGAATATAAATAATTTTATTTTAGATATTCGGCAATTTTGCCTGTTACCGTGTGGCCTGGGCTATTTTTAAGGACTATTCTTTTTTTTTTTTTTTTTTTACAAGTGTTCCTGAGGAGACTGCATCTTCGCCGTTCACCCAAGCCAGAGCACACTGGATCCGAGCAGTTACCAAGGTTCGACTCCAGCTGCAGGAGGTAGGAAATCTATTGTTCCAGTACTAGTTGGAATAATTTTTCCTTTGAAATTGGGAGACATATGGTGCCAAAGAAGCAATCAGTGATTAGTCATCTTCTTAGTGTGTTTCTGGGAATATATGACAAGTAAACCAGAGCCTTAAGAGATGATGGGAGGTGGTCATTGGCTTCCATCTATGCTGATTAATGAAAATCAAATAGTCCTGGTGGGTCAAGAGTCTGAAGATAAAGTTATATACTATTTTCAGTACCATAATCAGCCAAATGGTAACTTTCTATTTCTGTTATCCTTTCTACATTCATTAACTGGCATTCTACTATGAGGAAGAGATATCCTTTTTCTTCCATCAATTTATATCGATGTGGACTCATTGATTCCTAATTTATTACATGAGTTCTAAAATAACTATCATTTATTTTAAATTGTCCTTTGTATAAGCACTGTTCATTTGACCCTTTAGCAAGAAGATAATGTTTTAAAAGTGATTGAAAAAGTAGCTGCTTTGGAGGAAGCATTTTCAATACACGTTTGAAAAATGCTTCCGTGTGTGTGTGTGTGTGTTTTCTTTTGTTATTAGAAACAGTGTTACAAAAACTCATAACTGCATATTTTAAAATCTTGGAAAGAGGCTATTAACGTATTAAATGAAAATTTTAATGAGGTTTGAACTTATTTGTTAGAAATATAAAAATATTTCTGACTATTTTGTAAGACATCAGAGAAGATGAAAACAGCCAGATTTTAATAAAATCTTTGGTATGTAGGACATAATTGTACATTTTTCATTTGACTGGTGTATCAATATCTTTTTTAGCTGTGACAGCTATAAAAACTAAGTATTGAAATAATTGATGTGGAACTAGACCTTCAAATCATTCTGTAAACTAAGATTTCAAAAATAATGAAATGTCAATTTTAAAAATAACGAAGTCAGTGTCATAATACTTATTAATATTTTATTTCTAATTTTTAAGAAATGAGGGTCTTGTAATTTTTATTATAAAGGAAAGTAAAATAAATAACCTTCACATAAAAGAAGAGTCCTGAATGAGAAAGATAAGAATATATATTGGAGCAGAAACAGTTTGTTATGACATTCTTTTTAAAAGGCATTTCAGAGTCTTTCAAAAACAATAGCTAAAAACAGTTGCCAAAGCTTGGAATTATTTAGAGAAAGGCATGGTTCATTTATGAGTAATTATGAACCATTGCCACTTAATTGAATAAGAGAACAATTATAAATACATTCTTAACATAGGTAATGTAACTGGAAGCTGATTGAGTATTGCCAAGAGAAGAAAGAAAAGCCAGAGTTCAAAGAAGGATTTGATAACAGGTTAAGATAGAGGCAGCAGTACAGCATTTATACTCAAGATGAGATTTGCTGACAGATTGTTTGAGGTTGTGAGACAGTAAGAAGTATGACATCAAGAGGTTTTCCCCCTGAATAGTTGGGAATTTGCATCTAGTCACCCCTTAATACTCTGCCCCAAGATAATATTTTTTGTTAGTTTCTATTATTCTAGAATTTCTTTATGCAAGTGTAAGCAAATATGAATATATATTCTAATCTCCCCCTAATTTTTATTTTCACAAATATGGTGTATTATACACACTGAGAATATCTTGTTTTTCCCCTTACAGATTCTTCCATATTAGCTCTAAGAGTATGTTTCTTTTTTAAACAGCTGCATAATATTCCCCTATCTGAATATATTAAAAGTATTTAACTAGTCTCTGTTCATGTTTATTTGGTTGTTTCCAGTCACTTGTTATAACAACCATGTTCTAAAGGAGTACCTTTTACATGTGTCATTTTGCATGTATGCACATGTATCTAAGGGGATATGCATATGTAATTTTGATAAATATTGCCAGATTGCCCTCCATTTGTCAGTGACTTAAAACAGCAAAGGTTTATTTTACTTATGCTGCTTGTCATTCTATATGTTCTTATATTCTGCTTTAAATTGTGTTTTCTCTGCAAACCAGGTTGATGGCATAGCTTGCACCTAGAACATTGCCAGTTGTGGTGGTAGGGGGAAAGAAAAGATAACAAATGAAAGAGAACATAGTAAATTGCATTCTGGCTCTTAAAACTCCTGCCCAGAAGATACAATATGTCACTTTTGCTCACATTTCCCCAGCCAAAGCAAATCATAAAGCCATATTTAACTTCAAGTTAGTAGTGCTTACACCCTGAAAAAGATAGGGAAGGATTTGTGAACAGCTTTAATGACTACCCCACAGGGTATCTGCCTTCAACAGAGATTGTATCAATTTGTACTCCTACCAGTAATGTCACGAGGGTGCTTTTTGCTGCCCAAACCTAATAGAATGGCTTTAGGATTTTTGCTAGTCTGCTAGGCAGTGGTGTATCTCAGAGGAGTTTAAATTTACGTATCTTATTATCAGTAGAGTTAAGCATGTTTTCATATAAGTAAAGGCTATTAGTGTTTACTTTACCGTGAACAGTCTGTTCATATATTTTTTTTTTTGCCTATTTTTCCTATTAAGCTTTTGAATCCCAGGAGATTTTTGTTGTTTTCGGGGAATTAACTCTTACCTGAGATATGAGTGTCCAATATTTTTTCTCAGTGTATCACTGTGAGCAAGTTTTTTAACCTTAATGAGATACATTTTGTTAATCCAGAAAAACGGGAGAATAATAGTACTTTTTCTTTAGGATTATAAATTATATATTAAAACTATGATTTGAAAAGAGGAAGCCAGAAAAAAATGTACTTAAATGATTCCACATTGCTTTCATGATAAAATAAAACTTTTGTGATTCAGCTCAGTATGGTCCATGGACCAGCCCAGTTCACGAAGTTTGTTTCTAGTCTTTGTTGAAGTAACTACTGAAATTGAAAGCGAACATTTATTTTTAATTTTTATTTTTTTTATTGCTTAAAGAATTACAAAGGGTATTACATATGTGTCCTTCCCTCCCCCACCCCCCCGCCCTTGACAGTCCCCTAGCCTCCCCTATCCCCCAGTGTCTTATGTCCATTGGTTATGCTTATATGCATGCATACAAGTCCTTTGGTTGATCTCTTACCCCCCTCCCTCCTGCCCCCCAACCCTCCCCGGCCTTCCCGCTGCAGTTTGACAATCTGTTTGAGGCAGCTCTGCCTCTGTATCTATTATTGTTCAAAAGTTTATACTGGTCTCTATTATCCATGAATGAGTGAGATCATGTGGTATTTTTCCTTCATTGACTGGCTTATTTCACTTAGCATAATGCTCTCCAGTTCCATCCATGCCGTTGCAAATGGTAAGAGTTCCTTCCTTTTCACAGCAGCATAGTATTCCATCGTGTAGATGTACCACAGTTTTCTAATCCATTCATCTACTGATGGGCACTTAGGCTGTTTCCAGATCTTTGCTATGGTGAATTGTGCTGCTATGAACATAGGGGTGCATATATCCTTTCTGATTGGTGTTTCTGGTGTCTTGGGATATATTCCTAGAAGTGGGATCACAGGGTCAAATGGGAGTTCCATTTTCAGTTTTTTGAGGAAACTCCATACTGTCTTCCATAGTGGCTGCACCAGTCTGCATTCACCAGCAGTGCACAAGTGTTCCTTTTTCTCCACATCCTCTCCAGCACTTGTCGTTTGTTGATTTGTTGATGATAGCCAGTCTGAAAGCGAACATTTAGAGGCAGTTTTGGATTGCTGTGACATCAAGCACATGATCAATGGTCTCATGTCATTGAACAGGGTATAGACCAAAATTACCAGTCCATGACATATTGGAAATAAGAAACAGATCCTTCACAAAAGAATTTGAAAAGCCTGATATAGACCCAATATTCCTTTGCAGTCTTACCTCTTTCTACAATTCTGTTTCATCAACTCTTCCAACATATACAATTATTTTTCAAAATCTCAGAGGCTTTATACTTGCTATTTCTCATACATGGAATACTCTTTCTCTTTCTCCACCTAGCTCATATTTATTTTTAATCCTCACCTGAGGATATATTTTTATTGATTTCTTTTCTTTTTTTTAGAAAAAGAAAGGGAGGGGGTAGGGAGTGAGAGAGAGGGCAAGAGAGAGAAACTGATCGTTTGCCTTCCATATGTGCCCTGGGAACTGAATCTGCAACCTAGATATGTGCCCTGACTGGGAATCGAACCCACAACTTCTTTAATGTATGGGATGACACTCCAACCAGCTGAGCCACCTGGGTAGGGCCACCTAGCTCAGTTTTCATTCACATCTTTTAAAACCCAGTCAGGGACATATGTAATACTTTCAACAATAAAGATTAAAAATAAAACACCCACTCAGGTGTCAAGTTTTTTTGTGTGTAAAGCTTCCAGGCTCTGTGCATACTTTTTCTAGATTGGCATTTACCATGATGTAATGGAGTTTCTTGTTTGCTGCTACATCTTACTTTTCTGTGTATTTGTAAGATCTTTGAATGTGGGGCTATACTGTGTTTTTTTTTAATCTGTATTGTTCAGATTATTACATTAGTTACTCTTTTTTCCCACCATAACTCCCCTCCACCCAGTTCCCACCCCACCCTCCGCCCTCAATCCCCACCCACTGTCCTCATCCATAGGTGCATGATTATTGTCCAATCTCTTCCCTCACCCTCACACCCCCTTCCCCCCGCCCCCCGCCAAGAATAGTCAGTCCATTCCCTTTCTATGTCCCTGATTCTATTACAATCAACAGTTCATACTGTTAATCAGATTATTTATTCACTTGATTTTTAGATTCACTTGTTGATAGATGTGTATTTGTTGTTCATAATTTGTATCTTTACCTTTTTCTTCTTCTTCCTCTTCTTAAAGGATACCTTTCAGCATTTCATATAATCCTGGTTTGGTGGTGATGAACTCCTTTAGCTTTTCCTTATCTGTGAAGCTCTTTATCTGACCTTCAATTCTGAATGATAGCTTTGCTGGATAAAGTAGTCTTGGTTGTAGGTTCTTGCTATTCATCACTTTGAATATTTCTTGCCACCCCCTTCTGGCCTGCA